TAGGGGGAAATGGGCGGGGCCAGGGCCCGTGGAGGGGCCTCTTTTTTTTCTTTATGGGGGATGGTAACCCTAGTGTTACAGTATGTGACAGACTTAGAATGTGAACAGGGCCAGATTTAGGGGCATGTTACTTCAAACATTATATTTTCCCTTTTATCGCTAACAATAAAAACAGCATCCTGAGCCTGGCACCCCCCGAGCCCAGCACCCCAGGCAGTCACCTGTGTCACCTGTCCCTAAATCCTGCCCTGACCAGCACACAAAAGAAAAGTAATTTAAAGAGAAAAAATATTTTACATCTGCCCCCTCAATTCTGCTGCCCCTGGCAGTAGTGTGCTCTGCATAGAGAGTAGGATTAGGCCTGGTAAATTAGGAAAAGAAAGTGGAGGAAATTTTAAGTGGCTGGGGACCTGATCCCAATCCTGATGATGTCAATGGAAAGAATCCCAGTGATTTCAATTGGATTTGGATCAGGACCTCAGGGTCTTGCCAGCTTAAAGTGCTCAGGTTTGCAGTGTGCAAATCCCGTTATCACTTGAGGACAAGTTGGCTGTTCCTGCAGAATGTCACCTCCTGTTTCCTTATCTGTGCTCTTCAAACAGAATTCTGTGACCCTAGTGCTGGGATCTGCTCTGGCTCCCGGTAGATTTCTGGTGCAATTCAAGGTGTTTGGTTTTTGACACATGAAGCATTAAATGGTTTAGGACCAGGCTACCACCTCTCTCCTCATGTGATACAATGGTGGCAGAGAGTAGCTGGGATGCTCAGTCTTACAGTCCCACTGGTTTTTGTGGGAGAAGAATGGTGGTGGGAAGCTTTCAGTGAAGGATCTTCAACTCTGTAACACCCCATTGGTCTGGTGCATCTAGAGTCCATTCTCTGTCGGGAAGGGGATGGATGGAAGAGGATGTAATTGAGATAAGGTGTGTTGGGGAGTTATTAGTCCTCAAGGCTTATTGAGGCAGGAAGATGTTTTTAAAACAAACCAAACAAAAGCTACCAACCAAACAAACTGCTATTGGTCCATTCACCTTTGTATTTGCAACTAAAGAGAGAGCGATGGGCTCTTTTTATAAATATAAAACCTAATCATTGTAATGGTTTAGGTTTGTATTACTCTGCAGTAAAAGAGGGTCCATCCAATGAGCTGGGCCTTCTTGGCAATCTTTACAAAATACATGTATGAACAAACAGACGGCAAATTACCCCAAGGTCAGATCAAATACTCCAGCAACAACAGAAACACAACTAAAAACAACAAGTAAGGCCCTGTTCCCGCCCCGTGCTTACATTTACACACTGGGATTACTTCCATTGACTTCCATGGGACTGCTCACAGTGCATAAAGTTCAGCCCATTTGTAAGGCACTGCAGGCCTGGGGCCGAAACAAAAACCTATAGGAAGCAGCAGAGGCCGTGAGGATTCCTACCTGGTTCCAACTTGTGAACGTAAACAGTTATAAAATAAATAATAAAGCCAGGCAGAGAGGAGCTGAATCCGGAGCTGTGGCAGAATGAGAGAACCTTCATTTTCATTGAAACGTCATCTAGACAACAGGAAGAGTAAAAAGAACACAACAGTAAAACTTAATGAGCAGGCTGCAGTGATTAGGAAAA